ACTTGGCATTATATAATATGCAGAATTATTTCTGTATATTATTATCCCATGGCTCGGATCAAACAAAAGAAATGATAACATGATATTTTGACATCTGTTGAGTGGGTGATCAGTAGTGTGCAATATGGCAGAACAAGTTTTGCCTGTTTAGATGAGATATCTACCAAAGGATATCTCTTAGTTGATAAACCATGCTCTTATGTAAATGGTTTGCACTGCCCATTGCTACATGCACACATGAATGCTTGACTAATTTCACTGATATACTATTCTGCCAACTTTATTTTTACACCAGCTCAAGTGATGTGAAATTTAGGCTAAAGCTGCAGAGTGAGTGGGATTCTCACTCTAGGTTTCACTAGATTGACCTAAATACTGCAGTCAGAGACTTTGCCATATATGGATTGTTCTTTTGTAACACTGCAGTAATAGGAATGGAAGCTGATTGTTCTTTGTTTTATTTCCTTATCCACTGCAGAGTCATAACACTGGGAGATGTTGGGCTCAGCACACCTCATGCATGACAACTCATATGCAGTTATGTCTCTTGCAAAGCTTGGCACTATGACCTAAAATTCATAAAATACTTGACAGTGGTTATGGAGGCAGAGTTTCAGTTAAAGTGACATATTGTGTGTGTTTGGGTGTAGTTGTGTGTGCTCTTCTTTCTCCCGCAAGATTTTGTTTTGGATGACATGTTTGTGGTTTGTTACTACATACCACAAGTTCAGTGTTATTTTTGGATCGGAACCTGCAGTTTGATGGGCAGCTTTTAGACTAACTCTAGACAACAGTTGTAAATGTTTTCATTAAGACAGACTGTTCAGTTACATATTCAAATGCACTTGTAATTTATATGTACATAAAAAGATTGCACATTGTTTCTTTAAAGTCATCTATCTCATCTATATATTTGGATGAGGGCCATGTCTACAGCTGTAGCTTTTATTAAGTCCTTCCACTGCTGTTTTTTTTTATCACTGGAATCTTAGTCAATACACTGAGATTTTACAGTCAGTGTCTGAGTCACTGCAGGCACTGATGTCTGCATTGTGTGTGTGTGTGTTTCTCTACGCAACTGCTACTTGTGCCAGCACATTCTTTATACTAAGTAACATGTTTTCTTTTTTCAGTTGACATAAGATGTTGCTTGGATTGCCGCCTATGGCAACAACTCCTGCCCTACATAGTCTGCAGATACATGTATTATTATTGATGTGCTTTTTCAAAACCAAATTATTAATAAGGCGCCCTTTATTCCAACAGGTTGTTTAAATAATTTGGTCCTGGCTCTCTAGCACTTGTAGCTCTAGTTTCCTTGTTATTTAAAGCTAAGCTTGTTTTTAGTTTGCCATGCAATTTATATGATGCAACAATTGAAATCCATGTTGTGTGAGACACAATGGCCCATTTCAGAAAAATGTA